GTTTAAAAGTTATTGAGATTTTGTTATATTGTCTTATGAAAGTTCAAGGTTAAATTTTTGTGGATAGAATTCATTGCACCAGGTTTTATCCCATGCAGCTTGGTCTTTCTCTACAGAATGAATAGCTACCTGCTGAGAGCATCACACAAAGCACGAACTCTGTAGCTCCGATGCAGCTGTGAAATGAATCCAGTAATTTCAAATATTCTCAAGTTTATCCATTTTTAAAGGAAATACGAGAAAACAAAGCCAGCAGAAATACTTAGCCACACTGGATAAGCCAGCCAATAACATAGTCATTTAATGATGGTCTCAGCGGCTAACCTTTTCTTCTTGATTATGGTTTCCTGAGGCTCTGTCAGTTGAATAACCAGGTACGCGGGCTCCAACCTTCGCCCCATGAAGGGTGGGTTTGTCACATCCTGAACTATCAATATGTATTCTCCTGAAACAAGAAAGGTGAATTTTTACATAAAGAACTATCAATATATATTTTAAAAAGGATATTGCAAGCTTGCTGGATACTAAAAGACAACATGCCAACCACACTTTTAATGGCAAACATGGTAGAAGAAGAAGAAGCAAAAAAGGTAAAGTCTGGAGATTTGAACCAGCGTCATTGCACACGGTTATAAACAATAAGTGCTCTGCCACCAGTACGGACAGCTAATAAGGATTGTCCACCTGTGTCGCCGTTCGCATGTAACTCTGTAGCTACAGCTATGTTCCTCCATTTACCCCAGAGTGTCAACTCTGATGCCCATTTCCTAGAGGCTGGGTGAACCCGGGAAACCACCCGGTTTCAAACACCGACCGTGGCTGCATTGCAGCTGGATTTGGAAGTGAGCCTCTTATTGACTGCGCTAACGCGACCCCAAGAAGAAGAAGAAGAAGAAGATGAAAAAGAAGAAGAAGAACAAATAAAGAAACTTTATTTTTGAAGGGTCACAAATTTGGCATACAAGAAGAAGAATGGCCATCATATGCCAAATCTGTTCACTTCACAGCTGTCACTCCTTAGGTAATGGTGTTACCCATTGAACTCCCACTAGATGCCACGATTGTTTCCAAATATGGGATACAGATGCGCTTAACCTACCTGGTGCATAATTGTGCCACCGGGTGTTGGTCACTCATTGTGCAGTCTTGGTGGGGTTCAACGTCACTCACCCACCTGGTGGTGCACTCAGGGTAGGGATCATACTGGTCCAACCTAGCAACACCACTCTGTGGTCATTAGAGTAACAGGTTCCCATGTTCAGTGATGCCTGGCCAACACTTACATCGACACTTACATCAAAGTCGGAGTGCATGTCTGAGAGGCAAGGAACCAACAGTCTGCACACAAATAAGTCAGATCTTTGAGAGAGGTGTACATGCAGCAGTCAAATCCTGGAAGAAGACCAAAGTCCAGACTTGGACGAACCTCCAGCACTTTCTGCCAGTTTACTCCCTTTAAATGAAAAGAAGTAGTTTACAAATACATTTTACCAAGCATTTATTCATGTGATGCCGAGATTAATGAAATTGAAAACTGTAGTTAAAGTCTGTGCTCATTTACCACTTGGTGCTCTTTGTGCCAGGAAACCAGAGTCAACATGCATAGGCAGACTTTTAATTAGGTTTCAACTGGCACTGTTAGCATGTGAACACTTTACTGGCTACTGAGGAAGAAGACTGAGCATGTTTGGGGATGTCCTGAGTGCAGTGATGTGAATTCTTGATTGACTGACTGATTGATTCATTCATTAGTCATCATTCATTTATACATATATATTAATTAAAATATATCTATTATATTTATTTGTATATTTATAAAAATGACATGGACAGTACTGTGTGGAGGGGGCATATCAAGAAGGGAAAGAGAATGAAGGAAGAAATGATTGCAAAAATGATGAGAGCTGAGCATCTGAGGAGAAACACACTACACAAAAATATTAGCAACAATGATCCTGAAATACTAGTTCAGCTCTATAAACAACTCAGCCAACTTCTCTATTTTCATTACATCATCATCATTATCAGGTGCCTTGCCGACTGGCATGGGCGATCATGCCTCTCCATAATCCACGATCTCCTGCAGCATGTATCAGTTTGTGTGCCAACACACCTCCATGCCATGTAACAAGACTGTCAAGAATCTTCTCTCGTTGTCTTCCTCTATCCCTCCTTCCACAGATCTTTCCAGTGGTCACAACATGTTCTATTTTCCCTCTTCTCATAACATGGCCTGAAAATTATGACTGTCTACTTCTGATGTCTGTAATGACATAAAGTCTCTAAAAGCTCTATGATATCTGTATGCTCTCTTTTTCTGCACATCTCACATCTTTGACTCATTTAAAAAAAAACATAAATCAGAAGTAAAATATGCTACAGAAATAATTTCATAAGCTGAACATACCTGGACGAGCAAACTTTTCTTCTTTTCTGACTTTCTCGATTTTGGATGGATACTTTGATAACTCAATCGAATTTCTAGGTAAGCTTTTTCTTTCTATAAATACAAATTTGAAACATACAAATATAAATTTGAAATATATAAATACACATTTGAAATATATAAATACACATTTGATATATAAATACACATCTGAAATATTTAAATACACATTTGAAATATTTAAATACACATTTGAAATATTTAAGAAAATACCTGGTTTGGAACAAATGTGATGCAATTTGTATATTCACTTTTGCTGCTCACAGAAGTAAAAGTTGCACAATCATTACCCAAATGTATGAGAGCGTGGCAGTGTAGTGGCTAGATGCCAGACTCTGAGCGTACAGGCTACATGATGTAGTGGCTAAATGCTAGACTCTGAGTGTACTGGCTACATGATGTAGTGGCTAGATGCTAGACTCTGAGCGTACTGGCTACATGATATAGTGGCTAGATGCTAGACTCTGAGCGTACTGGCTTCATGATGTAGGGGCTAGATGCTAGACTCTGAGCGTACTGGCTACATGATGTAGTGGCTAGATGCTAGACTCTGAGCGTACTGGCTACATGATGTAGTGGTTAGATGCCAGACTCTGGCTGTACTGGCTACATGATGTAGTGGCTTTATGCTAGACTCTAGGCATACTGGCTATCATGATGTAGTGGCTAGATGCTAGACTCTGAGCGTACTGGCTACATGATGTAGTGGCTAGATGCTAGACTCTGAGCGTACTCGCTACATGATGTAGTGGCTTTATGCTAGACTCTGGCTGTACTGGTTACATGATGTAGTGGCTAGATGCTAGACTCTGGGCGTACTGGCTACATGATGTAGTGGCTTTATGCCAGACTCTAGGCATACTGGCTACATGATGTAGTGGCTAGATGCTAGACTCTGAGCGTACTGGCTACATGATGTAGTGGCTTTATGCTAGACTCTGGCTGTACTGGTTACATGATGTAGTGGCTAGATGCTAGACTCTGGGCGTACTGGCTACATGATGAAGTGGTTAGATTCTAGACTCTGGGCATACTGGCTACATGATGTAACCTGTTGCCTCGTGGGTGGCTCATAAGGCCAATTTCTTGTATTCTTTGCAACAAAAACTGTAAATTTGATGATAGTGGTCCATTGTGTGTCAATATGATAGATGCAGGGTTTAAGGAAATGTCTGAAGTTTTGAATACTAGAGCTAGAGTGCAGCTGTGCAATCAACCACTCGTATCACAGCTGCAGTGAACTCAGTTACAGAAGAAATGCTTGGGTGAGTTTGGCTACTGCTTAGATGTTGTCAAGCAGCAGACAGCAGCTATGGTGAACAGTTAAAACCTCTACTGATAATTTGTAAACTTTAAATATTTAACATATGTATTCAAGGAAATAGTACAATATAAACAATTTACGTTATCTGATGACACAGTCTTGATAGCAACAAGTCAGAAAGAACTACAGGAAATGATAGACATTGTGGTGTTAGAAAGTGGAAGAATGGGCCTCAGTTTGAATAATGGGAAGAGAGAAGTAATGGTGGTATCAAAGATATGAATTATTCCTAAATGTGTAATAAAAGTCGATGGTGTTATTTTAGGACAAGTACAGAAATTTAAGTATCTGGGCACATGGATAACATCAGACGGAAGATGGATAACATCAGATAAGAAACAGAATAGGACAGGCAAAAACTGCATTTTATAAAATGAAAAACATCTTGTGCAATATATCCTTGTTATTGAGAGTTAGAAAAAGAATTCTTGCTTGCTACATACATCCAGTTTTAACATATGACTGTGAATCCTGGACAATCGGTAGGCGAGCCAAATGCTTAGAATACCTTGGACAGCCAAAAAGAACAACCAAGAGGTTTTGAAAGAGTCGGGAGCCTGAAGACAACTTATCACAGACATCAGAAGGAGACAGTCATCATTTTTCGGCCATGTTATGAGAAGAGGGAAAATAGAACATGTTGTGACCACTGGAAAGATCTGTGGATGGAGGGATAGAGAAAGACAACAAGAGAAGATGCTTGACAGTCTTGTTGCATGGCATGGAGGTGTGTCGGCACACGAACTGATACATGCTGCAGGAGATCGCAGATTATGGAGAGGCATGATCAAGGAATGATTGATGATTCAAGGAAATATACATGACTGAAAGTGTATCAAGCATTTTGAATAACCCTGTATTATAAAAAGTCACAAAGTGCAAAAAAAATTTTTTTCTTTTTCCGTAAAAAAAAAGATACAACTATATCCTCATGTCTTAAAGTTGGTTATTATGCAATGTTTCATCAAGCTTATGGCCAAGTGATGTTATGCCACCATATAAAAAAGACTTCATGACCAAAATTTTTACACACCTCCAAAATATCTATGATGCAAACAGAATAATTTACAATGCTTTGCATGGCTTGAACTTATTGAGGATTTTTTGTTCGTAGCTAGTGTCAAATTAACGGAGAAATCAAAATTAGAGTAGATACTTTATTGTTACACTGAGCATAGACATCTTTATTTACAGTTGTACTATCTTTTCACATCAGCGTCTGTGGCTTAGGCATTGCAAACATGGTTTGTAATGCCGAGGTGCAGGGTTTGATTCCAGCCGCTGACTATTTATCTTGCATTGGTTTCAACAGTGGTACTAACAGCTGACCGTTCAGTAAGCAATGGGAACCCTGTCCTGACCTACACTGCCATAAACAGTAGTATTTAAAGACAGTAATGAATATAACTGCTTTATGAATCGGCTTTATGAATCAAACAACAGAAAAACTTAAACACACTTTCAGGAAAATGTATGAAAAACTAACAAAAACACAGATAAAACATGCAAATAAATTAATCAAATGGTATGCCCACTTGGATAGAATGCCTTCTGATGCTTTACCATACAAGGTATATACCCAAAGAGGCGAGGGACATAGACCAAGAGGCAGACCAAGAACACAGTAGATTGATAACATCAGAGAAACTCTACAGTACAACAATATGTCTATGGTCGAAGCAGCCAGACAAGCACAAAGCAGGACCTTATATCTCCCTCAACACTCGATGCAGTAAAACAGGATGAAAAGAAGAAGAAGAAGAAAAAGAAGAATTTAATTATCTCAGAAACCTTAATTTTCACTGTTTAAGAAAAAAAAAGATTACATAACAGTGTTGAGTTTGTAATTTGTTAAAATATTTATGTTTTAGCATCACTCAATATCAGCATCATCATTATCATCACCATCACCATCATTATAGGGTACTATCTCCCTCAGTAAAGACTGAATATAGTGAGTCAACACTGCAAACTATGTTGACAGATTAATACGCCAATAACTAAGCTATTAAATATAGGTCTAGCCCTTAACACCCAGTAAGCATGAGAGATGGAAAAGGGTCCTTTACTAATTTTTACTTTGCTTAACTAAGCTATTATGCCCAAATCATTTTAGTGACAAAGAATATGCATTATATATATATATACATATATATATATATATATATATATATATATATATATATATATATATATATATATATATATATATATATATATATGTATGTATATATATGTATATATATATATATATATATATATATATATATATATATATATATATATATATATATATATATATATATATATATATATATAGGAGCAGCATATGAGTGTGTATCATTATCATCATGTGCTCTGCCAATTGGCATAGGCGCTCATGTATCTCCACAGATCACGATCCCTGGTAGCCTGGAACAGCACTCTTGGTGATATCCCTCCATGCCATCATTTCAGCCCATCCAGCATCATCTCTCTTGGTCTGCCACTACCCATCTTTTCACTGATCTTTCCAGCAGTCACATTGTTTTTCAATGCCTCCCTTCTCATTATGTAGCCAAAGAACAGTGTTTGTCACCTTTTTATTGTTGTATACAGAGATCTACTTTCATTAGCTTATTTCAAACAATCTTCATTAGTTGCTCTGGCCGTCCAAGGTATTCGTAACATTTGTCTCAAAAACCACATCTCTGTTGCTTCTGAATTCTTCTTAATTTGTTCACTGACATTCCAAGATTTGCTGTCATATAGCAGAACAGATTCGATGTAACATTTTAGCACTCTCTTTCTAAAATGAAATGAGAGTGATTTTTGCATAAGATTTGTTTTTCATTTTCTGAAATGCTGACTTTGCTTGACCTACTTGACCTATTCTGCTTTTAATCTCTGTCACACATTTTCCTTCTGATGATATGACTGTTCCCGGACATATGAATATATATATATATATATATATATATATATATATATATATATATATATATATATATATATATATATATATATACATATATATATATATATATATACATTTATAGATATAAAAATTAAGAAAATATGTACAAATTAGGTTTCACTTTGTAATACTGTATTCTATGCTACCATTTTTTCATTAATAATCAGGTTTGTGCTCATAGTAGGATTAAAATATTATTGAAAAACAGCTATGGGCGTGGCAGTAGCGGTTCTGAAATTATGCGTCAATTACACTAGATGGAAGTTATGTAGCCATGGAGGATTTCTATGGCAAAATAGCTAAGGCATTTTCTTCATGCTATGTCGATGAAAGGATCATTTTAGACACTTTTATTTGGTTCTTGAGTGCAATTTGTTTTGGTTATTTTATTCCTGGATATTGTCTCTGAAGCTATAGTTTTTGTGGAACTAGTGGTTATCAATTAGCTTTCTGTAGCTCTAGTGGTTATCAATTAGCTTTCTGTAGCTCTAGTGGTTATCAACTAGCTTTCTGTAGCTCTAGTGGTTATCAACTAGCTTTCTGTAGCTCTAGTGGTTATCAACTAGCTTTCTGTAGCTCTAGTGGTTATCAACTAGCTTTCTGTAGCTCTAGTGGTTATCAACTAGCTTTCTGTAGCTCTAGTGGTTATCACTATCTTTTTTGTAGCTCTAGTGGTTATCAACTAGCTTTCTGTAGCTCTAGTGGTTATCACTATCTTTTTTGTAGCTCTAGTGGTTATCAACTAGCTTTCTGTAGCTCTAGTGGTTATCAACT